TTTTCTTTATGATCTTACAAACAAATCAAGGTTAGTCTAAACTACTCATAGTCATTCCATTTGCCCTGCCATTTAGGCATGGCCTGTGATGCAACATTGGCCAGTGAAATCTGGGGCTAAGTCTACTGGAACAATCCAGGGAGTTTTCTTTGATTTTACAAAAAGGACTAAGAATAGGACCTAGTCTTCGGCTCTTTGGATACTATCTTATAAGAAGTGATGCTTGGAGCTGCTGGCATTATAGAAAAACTAACTAAATCCTGATACTGCAGAGCCATGAAATTTATACCAGAACAACTCAACCTCTGAAGTTCCTGTAAGTTAAGATAATTAACTTTTCCTCATTATTTAGGCCAAAAACCGAGGGAGGTGTGATTAAAAATCCAAACTATAACCAGTATCAGAATTATAGCTACATTCCACTTTCTATCCAATCTTTAGTGTTTTATGTCTCCCTAATAGTCTTTCTTCAAAATCAGACAATAAGGCAGTAAGAGAATATTTGTTTACTACTTTCCAGATATACTTGTTACATAACCAGCCAAGAATGTTGTCCTTAAACTTCACAAAAGTGACATATTTAAGGTTCTCTGCTATTCCTTCTCTGACTTCAGTGCATGTCTTTTTATTCACATTGCGTATATATCTTTTCCATCTATTCTCCTTAGACCTGAACTATAATTTGATATTATTGATGATTATGCTCTTCTAAATTATTTGTGTTTGAGCATAAGTTATCTTGACAATAAATAAAACAGTACAAAGTGCTGCCACATTTTTCTTTGTTTTCAACTTGCTCCTTTTTTTCCTTTAACACATTTAGTATTCTGCGAATATCTTCCCCTTGCCCACACACTTCCTACCTGAATGTTCTTAAAAATAAAATTCATGGCTTTTAGAAACTCTTCAGGAAATTACTCTAGGACCCTTAAAATGATTGAAGAGGATTAATCTATCTCCTGCACGATATTGGTAGTCATTATCTTGCCTCTCTGCCTAGATAATTTAAGATACTAGGCCACTGAGCTGCATATTTTGTGCAGCTCTTAAGTTACCAACGGTGTGCAAAAGATGGTAGATTTTAAAAAATAACTTCAAAACACATTTCTTGGCAGATCGCATTTTGAAATTATCAATAAGTATCTTGGCCAGATAACCTGATGCATATTGTAGCTACTAGGTGACATTTTAGCCACCCCATCTGCAGCCTCCTAAAAAAACCCCTAAGTTTTGCTTTAGATTTGTAAGACCAAGCAAATAAAGGTGTAAATTAAGTAAGAATACTGACAGGCTATCTCTAAGACAATGAAAAAGAGCACATTGTAACTTCATTGAGTACCTGGAGGCACCAAGAATGTCTGCCAAAAGGGAAATCAGCAGGATTAAGGGATAAAGCTTTCAAAAACCTCATCTACATTGCCTAGCATGGCAAAGGAAAGAGCTATTAGAAGCAGAACTTCAAGCTGCATTAACCAAAACCATATTTTAGTCTTACGGCTGATGATTTCTGAATAAAGAATAAATACAGTATCTTTATATTTTGTCCCACACTTTTCATGATCTACACTCCTTGAAAGTTGCATAGGCTGACATAATTTATAATTTAATTTCACTGAGGTATTATTATAAGGCTCACACCTCAGTAAGCTTCGAAACTGCTAATTGGGATAATAGGAAATTACTTGTCTTCTCCCAAATGCCAGTGAAGTAGGTCAGGATAATTAACATGCAAGCTGACTTTTCAGTCAAAGGAAAACAAGACAGGTCTCATCTGTGTACTTTCAGTATCATCCATTTTAGACCCAAATGAGTTCAGCCTGAGAAAAATCACAGTATGACTCAGTTAAATAACAGAAATTTCAAAATAAGACAAAAGGTAGTTCAGCCATGAGAACATAGATTGAAGTATGCTCAAAAGAAGACCAAATTTACACCTCATATGCAGGGCCAAATTGCACATGTACAAAGAAAGTGAAAAAACATCTATGTCACAGATTTAGGTACATCTTGCTCCCTAGAGTGCTCTGTAAACTCATAAGCACTATATACAATATAGATATCATGAAAGGGGTTTGGTTGATGATGACATAATTCTTCACCCTTAAAGCAGGAGATAGGCTATATTTTCATATTTTCTCCCACTGTTCCATCTGTTCACATGCCTGATACTTCCTATTTTTAATTTCTTGGCAAACTGAGAAAAATGTTTGAAGCTACAGACGTGAAACTTATTTCCTCTACAGGTCTGTACCTGATTGGCAAAAATTCATTTTAGTAGGTCACACTGCATGCTGGCCTTGAGCAGGACACACAGTAACACACTGCTGCCAGACTTTGATTCTAACAAATACGGCAGCCTGCTGACCCGAGCAGCAGCATGGGGAGCGCTCCGTGTCGAGGGCACTCTGTAAGTCTGGGGCTGATGGGATAGCCACAGCTTCCTACTCGTGTGTAACTTTTGCTCTGTTGACATAACACCAAGAAGCTTGATTTGAATAAGCAGCCTGGAATACTTATCCCTAATGGCCAACAGGGCAGTCATGAACAAGACACGCCTTCATTAGACCTTGAAGATTCTTTTGAAAACACTGATTTTAGAGCTGATGTTTCCAAAATGAAGTGTTCATCAAATTGCACATTCCTAAATATTAGAAACAGTAATGCAGAAAACCCATCATTAGGAAGGCAAACATACATTCCATTAAGTCAGAAGCATCTTCTAGGCAAGCATGAAACGCACTGCTCTGTTGAGAATGGTTTAAAGGACACTAATACATCAAGTGGCAAGATTAATGGAAAAATACCCAGAAAGAAATGGGGTCCTGAAAGATAGTGCATGGCCACCGTTAGTGAAACAGATCCGACTGAAACAGTGTGAACTGCCCCACAATATTGAACCATAAAGACAAAATGTGCAATACCAAGTTCACCGACACACTTCCTAGGGCTGTTCTGCCTTATCGCAATTATTCCACAAAGAGTCTGCTGAACAAGATGGAAAGTACTAAATAACTGTCCACTTGTCTCACTTGGGAACCTGAAGGAAAAAGCCACCGATTTAGGAGTGTACCTGTATGGCTAAAAATACATCCAATCAACAAAACAGAAAAAACAGACACTCAAGGAAACAATAATCGAAAGCCATCTAACTAGAGATGCTCTGTGGGTTACTGGAGCCTGAAGGAAGGGTGAGTCCAGGTCCGAGGACACATGTTCTTCTTTCTAGTCCTCCCTACACAACGACCAGGAGGAACTGCTAAGTATCCAGCTTAAGTGAAAAAGACAACTTCAATGACTTCTGCCCATGGCAATGACGGAATGTGTTCTGAACAGGATTCTCTATTTCAGAGGGTTGTGCCTAATTTCAACACAATTTATTTTAAAATGGCAGAGATGTTTGTAGAATACAGAATAAACCTCACAAACTTAGAGCAGCTGTGCAGCACTTGAATGACAATCAAAATGAGGTTTCTTTAGGGTTAGTTAGGTTTTAGAAAATAATTTATTAATCATCTTAAGATTAAAAATGTATTATTGTGCTTTCCAGAACTCCTACAGAGGCCTAACACAGCTCCTAGATCTTTCCTCCACAAGACACTTCAATAATCTCTAATAAATACGAATGTTGCAAGGGCTTGGCAGGTAATCACCTTTCCTGAACCAACAGTATACCTTTTATAATGTCGCTCATGGAGATCATGGCTAAAATATACTTTACATGGAAACTGCTTTAATATATGAATTTTATTATAAGCAACTCATATTTTGATAGTAGAAGAGGCTCACTGTATTTTCTTGTTAATAATCTCTGAAGTAACCTACATTTTAAATCAGCCAAGCTAGACATTGCTATGAGGTCCCTGATCTGCTGGTAACCTATAAGCTTTGAGTTGTTTTTTCAGTTGTGAAGAAGAACTTACACTAATATATCCTTTAATCAAAGTCTCATATACTCCGTGAAATGGGCTGAAGGATACAGTCTGTATTCTTTAAAAAGAGAAGTCTAATGCCCTAGTGGGACCAAACAGTAACTGTGGTTTCATCAGCACTGGCTTGGGTCACCTGCACTAACTGACCCACACTTCATTTTGAATAAAGAGATGCAAATGATTTTATATGATTTCTTCTATATGATTTTTTGGGTATTTCAAGTCTTTTGGCCAGAGCTAGATTTTTTCTGAGTAAAATAACTGAGTTATAACCTTTCCCTTAAATGAGCCTGGGTTTCTGGACTGGTGTATCACATTAGTTATAAACAGAAGTTTGATATGGCACACTGGATAAATAACTTGATAACTAGTAAGCATATTCTTAATGCCAACAAGACAGAGGGTTACTTAATTGACTTGTTTCTCTCAAGAGCAGATTCACATAAACTGACTTTTGCAATCAACATACATAGCAAGAAAGTAAACGGACGCTTTTGGCAAACTGGTTTCTAGAAACAGATTCTGCTATTTGGAGTTGATAGAAACGCTGTGTAAAATTTTTTTTGGGAAAAATTCTTCGGGATTTTTCCTTTCAATCTTCTAATAGGGAAAAGGGAATTGTATGTGTGTGTGTATGTGTATTCACCTACTTATTCAATTAAGGTTCTGCTTACACCTTGCTTAAAGCATTTATAGTTTCTTAACCCAAACTCAGGGGGCAACAACTGTGGACGAAAGGGATGATGCATGCACTTGAGAAGAAAGTGGATTAAGAGGAGGAAAAAACCAAATGAATACCATTAACTTTGCAAGGCAAATGGGTAATTAAAGAAAAAAACTATCTGCTCTAGTTGTGGGTGTCCTGGGATAAAGGCTTCATTATTCATCTTTCTTTCTCCCCAAGTTACTCAAGTTCTGAAAGTAGGACACCAAGGGATACCTAACTTCCTATGTAACAAGACCATTATTTTAAGAAAAAGGGGAAACAAAATTCTACTCTGTTAAAATAAGAAGTTTGAAAAGGTTAGGACTCCGTGTATACAGGCTAAGAATCTCCATCAACATACTTACTTTTGTCTCCTATGTTTTCCCCTGCTGCCTCCCCTTCCTCCTCCTCCTCCTCCTCCTCTTCCTCCACCTCTGTGGGCTGCACGTCATCCTGCGGGTCACAGGCACTAACCGGCGCATTCAGACAGCAATGGTTGAACCCGCTATCTCGAGGCAGAGTAAAACTTCGAGGCTTGCCCCCGTTTCCATTTAACACTTGCATCCTCTCGCTCTCGGCTAATGGGTACGGCCCATAGTGATCCTGTAGGTGGCACTTCTGAGTTGGAAGGGTGGACTGCCGCCTGTGCTCTGGGGAGATGGCCGCGGAGTCAGAGAAGACAGAATCCTCCAGGGGCAGAGTCTGAAGATAGTGTAATCCTGAGCTTGTCAGGGGCGTCTCGATTAAATCCTGCCAGGAGCGGCGCTGACTGGCCGTCTTGCGAATGGGGGACACCACACTGCTCCCAGTCACTTCCTGGCGAAACTCCTCATGGGAGGATTGCGACTGAGATGTCTCTGTCGAGGAGAGCCGGCTGTGTTTTGCTTCCACATAAGGACTGGCACAACTCATCTGTGAAAAGGAGCCTCTGATCAGTCTCCACAGAAATAACAGACCACTCTTATCACCAAGGAATGTACTCAATTTTCACCAGGTAACATTTACTACTCGAGTTAATGACTAGTCAAGTTTTCAGACATACCAAAGTTAGGCCCCAGCTGACATTTTAAAAGACTCAGACGTGGATGACTGAAATGCTATACTGGGTTCTCATGAAAAATCTGACATACTAATGCTAACTTTTACAACAATCAAAGTATAAGAAAATGCGAATGTCTATGTAAGAAATATTCAGCAACTAGAAAAAAACCCCAAAGTTTTAAAATCTCTATGCATTTGAAATTCTGAAGAATTGTTGCCAAACACATATTTCCAGATTTTATGGACTTTGGGGATGAGAGCAAGGCTTTTGGATGTGAAAACAAGGTGCCTATAATGGGACAGAAAGCTTCCTCTTCTTCACAGGTGAATGATTGCTCTTATGGTGTCAAGGAAAAGCTTTCTTATAGTCTTGTCAATTCTGTGGCACTTTCTAGAGAGTTAAAAATGTAGGATATGATTACACCCTGATGAGGATTAGCATTTGCCTTGGGCACAGGCACTTCACGTCACATAAACACAAAAGGAAAATGGAATATTTTTATCCTTGGAATTTATAGTTTGGGAATGAATATATGTTACAGCACAGAGCACAACCAAGGAAAAGGACTGGTATCAAGTGGATGCTGTAAAAGACTTGCAGGCACCCCTACCGGGACAAGCCTTACTCGAGCTCTGTAGGCTCACAGACCAGCCCAAGCCTCCTCTTGGCAGGAGCCAGATTTGTTAAATGTGATCATTGCAAATTGGGCTGAGGCTGTGGCCAGGAACAAACAGCCTGACTAAGGTGAAAGTGCATTTGCCCCTATGGGTAAAGGAAAATTTAAGTGGCATGTTCTGTGGGCAGTTTTTCTTCCCATATGCTAATAAAAATGCAAAGAGTTTCCTTCTTGAAATTTGCAAGTTGCTATGATTAAAGAGCAGTTCAGTCAAGCTGCAGTTTCTCTTCCTTCTACTTTTATAAATATTTTGAAAGAATTATTCGGACTCTGATGTTTTAGGGAAAGCGGGAAAATATGACATAAACTATATCTTGTTACTGACTTCATTATTTCATTTCTATAGTTCATCCTTGCATTCTGCTTTACTTGGTACACTGTAGCATTTATTAAGTAAATGTACATATAAGTAGGAACAATTCTGTATTTTTTTCTACTTCTCTCCCGTTTTCCTTAGGTAAGAGATATATCATCAAACATTTTAATTAAAAATGTGACTTCCCTTTTAGTCATTAGCCAAAAGTATTCATTCACTTACTTCACTTATTAATTTCAGAAATACTTACTGAGCACTTAATAAATGAGTGCCAGTGCTGTGCTAGGCCATGGGGATGTGCAGATGAACAGAACAGGGTCCCTGTTCTCAAAAAGTTCACAGGACAGTCCAATGAGCTGTTCACAGTCTCAAATATTGTGATTTAATATGCCTGAGCATCTGCATTTCTAAAACACTCCAGAGGTGATTCTCATGCACAGCCAAGGTTAAGAAGTGGCCTAGAATTGTATCGACATCTTGCAGAGCACTTTTCTTGTTAAAAATCCCCTGGAGTAATATGGAGGTAGAATTAGGTTGGCTGTTACTGTCACCTAAATCCAGCTTCCATTTCTTATGTGGAAGACTCAGTCCCAAGATAGGCCGAATTGACTCTTAAGGTACTGCGACCATGCAATGGATTGCTTAAACTGGGACAGTATTGAGACACTTTTGGTAATTCTCATGGGAAATAGGCATAAAGTGGGATAGTACCAAGCAAACCAGGACAGTTGTTTACTCTATTAAGAGATCAAAGTACAGTCTATACACAGAATAATTTATGTAGGTTTAAGAAGTCTTAAGAGCACCACATAAACACATACACATTAAACCAGACCTCGTGACTGTCTAAAAAGCTACATGCCAAAACATGTTCAATACAGATTTAACATTAATTTTTATGAGTTGCTACTAGAAGACGTAGGAGTGAAGTTTATTAGTGTAGAATAGATAAGGTCAATTTATACATCTTTTCCTAAGAAAAAATTTTTTGTTGTTGATATTTCCATGAAGGCTACTCTGACACAAATGGTATGTTTTCTTATTAAAACTGGTAAGATATTTATTATGTGTAGAATCTGTGGTGACTGTTTCTCCTGATTAAATATTCTTTGTATACTTAAAATTTTCCCTCTTATTGCTTTTAGACTCCCTATTTTCTTTCCCTCTGAAAAACCCAAAGTCTGCCATGCAATTCACTACATATTTTTTTTTAACATACAAAGGGATGGTTCAGATCAAAGAATCTGATGCTATACTGAGTACATTCCTGTTGGCAACTTACGGAGGGAGGCCGTGGGTATGTATCGTAGGGGGGTGGAGGGCTGTCCTGTTTGGGTGTTGATGGAGTATCTGCTTCTTCCTTGTCACTCTCACTCCAGTAATCTGAAAATTCACACACATGGATACATCAACATTCTATTAAAAGTTTCTAGCCATTTTTTTCAGGAACACACACTATCAGCTAACAAAAGGAAGTTTAAATTCCATGCATATGCCCTGCTCCCCAGCACTCCCTACCCTAGGCCCACCAACTTTTATTTTCAGCTGGGTTTTGAGGAGGAAGGAGGAGTACAATCACCTAACTCCAACCTCCTTTTAAAGCAAGCAATTACACATAGCCGCAGTTTTTTAAAGAGTTAAGACACTGCATAAGTCAAATCAGGTTTAGGGTAATCTTAGATTCCAGATCAAACTACTTGAAGCTTCAATTAATGAATGATGTCACATGATATCTCTTAAAGGTATATCATTTTATCCTAAAGATGAACATTCAAAGAAGAACTATATACATTGCTGTGGATCTCTACAGATACAAACAGCTCCAAAAATAATGTTCTCAGTTCTCTTCTCTGGCTTCAGTTCACTGGTTACCTAACAATCACTGTTTCCAGAGTCATGCTGACATGATTCTCTATAACACCATACTCCCACCTCTACTTCGAAACACATGGCAAACCCTGATTCTTGCCAAATGCAAAAGGGCAAATCTGCTGATGTGGGCTGTAAGTTCCAAACTTCTAGAACTACTTAAAAGGGTAGAAAATGTAAGCCGCTAGACAAAGTGACTTGGCAGACCTCAGGCAAGAGGGAAGGGGAAAAACTCTGAGAGATATATTAGTTGAGTAAGTAAAATACAGCACAAAGGTCAATAATCAGAATCTGTTCTACTAATATCTCAACTGCCCTGTAACTGCTGGGTTAATTCTTTATGTGATTTACAGGGAAAAACCAAGAAGCGATACCCATCTGAATTTCAGATGATAAAAGAAGAGAAAAGGTATCAAAACAGAAGGTTCCTTACTCTTATGAAAATCTAAATCATCAAAGAACCATCAGAAGGCTTAACTGATACTCAGATTTAGGTAAAAAATTATGGCACATATTTTTATAGGAACCCCTCTCCTCCCAGGAATTCCCATATTGTAATATTTTTATATATTTTCCTTGTAGTGCTGATTAATATTACTAAGTACAGCTAACATTTATTGAGTATTTACCATGTGTCAAAGAGAGAGCAGAAGAGCTGGGATTTGAACTAAGAAATTGCCTTGCTCTAAAACTCGAAGGGTTAAGTCACTGGGACTCTTTTGTATGACTTGGTGGGAGAGTTTAATGTGACATATATTCACGATCCTTCGAGCACCCCCTCCTCCTGCTGCCCTATAACTCTGGCTACTGTGAACAGAAATTTTTTAGTAATGGAGATTATTATATTTGGGCCTCAAAATACAAGGTCTCTGAAAATTCTACTCTTTAATTATTCCCCTTGACTAAAAGATAAGCAAAGACTAGTTAACTTAAATTTGATATGTGGTTTTCACATTGGGTCACACCGGTGACGGGCAGTATACTAAATCTCCCCTCAAATATGAATTGACACAGTTGCCCAGAAATAGATCCAGTAAACACTGGTGGGAAGAACATGAGCTATATACTCCGGCAAATGTAGGTTCAATGCTCAGCTGTACCAATTACCATTTCTGTGCTCTTGCGATGGTTACTTAAGCTCTCTGAGTCTGTTTTGTCATCTGTAAGTAAGAGGGGGCTAATAATAACTGCCTTTCAGAGTGTGTGAGGGGTACTAAATAAGGTAATATATTCTCAAGCAGCTTGCACCTTGAAAGCACTCAATAAATATTAGGATCCCTGATATTCTTGGGTGGATTTGTAGGTAGCATGCCAGGACAGTCTGACCCAGATCATAGGAGATAAATGCCTGGTGTTCATCTTCTTGGACATTAGCTTTTCCTTACAGCAAGTTCCAGCGACAAACAGTACATTCTGGAGCTCTGGGGCCTGGGTTGGGTAGTTTCGTGGGAGCATGAAATACTACTGGGAAATTATTTCTGGAGGTGAAGGGACTAAGCCCCCCTCAACCTGCTCCCGAGCAGTGGGCTTATCAATATCACTCTGTTCTTACCCTTCTCACTATTTCCAGAAACTATGGCACCTGTGCTGAATTTCTTCTTCACCTTTGCACTGAGACCTTGGGTTTCAAGGAGTCAGCACCTCAGGTGGTCCTGTTTGGACACTGAGAAGGAGATGATACACACTTTATCAAGATGTCTTTACAGCTATCACTACAAGTGACAGATTTGGGAGATTCTCTCTCTACTTTTTCTATCTCCCTCCTATCCCTGGCTAAATTAGGAAGAATTCTAGCCCACTATTTGATATAATTCTTCGTTTATTAAAAAGCACCAACAAACTAAAGCTTTCCTGGGTTGCCTAAGAAAAGGCTGAAATACCACTCTGCAAATTAACTTCATTTCTCACACTAAGCTGTGTGTCTCTGAGAAAGCAAGGCCAGAGAAGAGGCTATACAGAAAATTTGGTCAGGCCTTTATGGATTTTTGTGGAAAATTACAGGCAAACTGCTTCCCAGAGGCTGAAACCAGTGTGATTTTCATTCTAAGAGCAAATTAACTTATTTTTCTTAGCTCTTTATTTAGCACAAAATAAATGGATACTTTTCACATCTCTCCCAGTGATACTCAATTTTACAAGTAACTAATCATGAATAAACAGTGCCATCAATAGAAGAAGAAAATTTCCACTTTACTTCTCATGTTGATAGAAAAGGATAATTTGAAAAAAATTGACTTTCATCTAGAACTATCAAAGAAATACAATGCATTTCATTCATTTTTATGTAATTAAAGTTTTAAAAGACCTTATGTATGACTGAAAATAATGTGTCATGAGTGTCTGATTTGAAGCTAGAAAAATATAGAAAATTGATTAGTAGACAATTAGCCAAATTATGTTCTTGGCAGAATTTAGTGTAACCTTGTTTTCTCTAAGTAAAACAATGCATAATGAAAAAGAACCCCACATCCTTTATACTTTTGTAGTTAAAGACAGCAATTCACTAAACTTTTATTTAAGTCAATGAAAGAGTCACTTCCAAGCTGCACTGGGTATTCTATTTAAATAGAAACAGTGGTTAGCAGTTATTCATTTGCATCTTTGTGAAATATTCTCAACCCTCAAAGAGCTATATTTTGTATCAAGTTTAACTTCAGTATTAAGAATGGTACTCAGATGTCAAACAATTCTATAGAAGGGTGTTGTGGACACGTGCACCCAGTAGTTTGCTACATAGAACACCCTGAGATCTAGTCCTGCAGAAGGTAGGAAGTCTAATATGTTTCTGACCTGTGTTCCAGTGCCTGGTGAATGTATACTCCATGTGGAAATCCAAATTATTTCAGAGATTTCAGTTGCACTGTATTAGCAAGAGAGACTTGAAATGTAACTATTAACTTCTGCTTATGATTGTCTACCATGCTCCAGTAGCCACTAAAATATATACTCACATGACAGACCATGAATCCATGGAATGCACACTTTTTGGAACTTGCACGTATAATGTAACTTACCAGTTCTTTCACCCATCATGAAATTTGTTTATATAATACCAAGTACAAAGGAAAGGAAATCAACTAAAATCAAGGCCAAGCTCAACTTCAAAGCAACGCCGAGTGATAAAATACAGAAGTTAAGCCTGAAAATCCAAGGTTTCTTATTCATGCAAATTGACCTTTTTAAAGATTCATTTGCCTATCAGTACATTGCCCACACATCTAATTCCTGTATCTTAAAAGAGGAGAAAGAAATCTATATGCACCTTTAAAGAACAGTTTTTATGCATTTTAAAGAAATTTGAAAAGGCAGGCTGGTGTGTGTATGTGCACGTGTGTGTGTATTCAGCTCTTACTACAATTTTAGGCCTACAATTTAAGCTCAAGTATGAAAGTGGGGAGTATAATTTTAACAATGAAGAAATGTGACTTAACAACTGGCCTGACACTTCATTGTCCTGGCTAGCATTTGCTGTGCACAGTGATTTGATGGAGATGGTTTCCACGTTATTTGTGGAAGTATTCATGCTGCTTCTACTCCCAGTAATGTTTTATCATCTCCTTGACTCCACATCCTTCTCATCCTGTGAGAACCAGTTTAGATAAAAGAGTCAACATTATGTCTTTCCCCATTTTCCTCCTGGAAGGAATCTCTCCAGCCTCATTCCCATGGACCCTGGTTTCTACTTTCCCATGTTTTACTTTCTGGATTGTACTAAGAGTGTCTTTTCTACTAGAATTCAATGTAATTTCAGGCAGGATGGGTGCCTATTTCACCTTAATACAATGAGAGTGCTAACAGAAGGCCTTACACAGAAATACTTTAGTATTTAATAAAATTTCTTCTCTCCCTCTTCACTGCTAAATCTACATCAAGCTCACCGATTCTCCAGCAAGTGTTTCCTCATTAATTCTGCCTCCTTCTCAGGTTTTTAAAAAAAATTTTGCATCCACTTGACAAATTTTTTAATCAGTTGCATGTTGTGCAAAAATTAGTACTCATTTACTTTATGTGGCTCTTTAATTTTTCCTAAGTAATTTCAAGTGTGTATTTTTGAGATCCTCAACAAGATGGTAAATTCCCATTGGCAGTAACCATGTTTTGCTATTTCTTGGAAATCTTTCTGCTCTATTTCCTCACCTTTCAGTGCTCCACCCACCCCCATTCTCTCACCCCAGGGCTCTAAACCAGGGGTTGGTAAACTATAGCCTGCAGGACAAAGGAGGCTCTTTGCCTGTTTTCATAAAGCTTGTGGGTCAAGAATGGTTTTTACCTTTTTAAATGGATTAAAAAATAAAGTCAGAAGAAATATGTGAAAAATGTCATGAAATTCAATCTCAGTGTCCATAAATAAATCTTTATTGAAGTACAGAATCTCCACCCCCCTCATGTGTCTACAGCTGCTTTTGTACTGGAACAGCAAAGTTGAATAGTTTAAACAGAACTCTTAAGGCCTGCAAAGCCTAAAACATTTACTATTTGGCTCTTTACAGAGTTTGCTGACCCCTGACCTAAACATTTGCTGACAGATTGGTTTTGGGATCTGGTTATCTCCTTTAGATCTCTCTAATCTTTAGTTTTTAGATGTTTTAAAAAGTTTTGCTCTGAGGTTTTACTCTGAGAGGAAACAGAAGGTTTTCAGAATTTTCACATCAACAAACAGGCTATGCCCACTGGAGACAGAACTAGAAATATGTTTGTATGTGTATCAACCTGTGGAATTCTTTTAACTTTAGGATGTCTCAAAATTTTCAATAAACTATTTATGCTTCCAAGGGATGTACAACAAACATTCTTTGGGAAATGTGAAGCCATTTTATAAAGGTGATCACAACTTTTGTCAAGATTTCAATTCTGCATGAGGATATTTTGTTTCATAATTGTGAGGTTAATACCAAGGCAAGTTCCATAAGACCACAGAGTTAACACAGTAACAGAACTGAATAACATAACCAAATGAGATAATTTATGGAAGAAGGGATCATTTATCTGAGCTCTTCACATTTAAAAGACTACTTAAATGTCTGTGAAAATGCAAAGTAGAAAAAGTAACTCACCACCAAGGACCTGGACTTGGGTCAATATATAGGACCAATTTTAGGCTTTTTAATTTTTAAGATTTTTTTTTCCTCCATAGGAAACAGGCTGAGGGAGATGGCAACAAACAGGAGAGAACTCCACATTAGCTGCTCCAAAATTTGACAGTTTATTCCCTGTTTAACTTATTAAACTCTACCCATAAGATGCTATGGTTTGGATTCAAAGTACACAGAAGAGAAATAACCACAGTCTGACATATACATTTTCTCTCAAGTGATAGCAGTGAATCACTGTATAGGATAACAGCAAGAAACAAAGGTATAACACGATAGTGAAAAAAGTATTCCTTTACCTTGTTCTTGCTTAATCCTCTCTCTTTCTGCATATCCTGCAGTCAGCATATTAATTCTGTTAAGCCACCTGAAAAAACAAATATTAGATTCAGTAACAGTGTAACTGTATTTCTTATACTTTACTTCTTGGAAATACTTATTTTAAAATGTGTAAGAATATACTGAATGATCCTACATAAAAGGTGTTTTTTTCTACTCTTCACACACAGTCTTCAATGAGCTTTAATTTGCTGTAGTACAAATTGTTCTCATACTGAAGATGCTATTTCAATAGAAAAGTCTTGGCAAACCTGTTAATATCTGTAAGGTAAAGGGTTTTGAGATGACCAAAGCCTTATTAATTCTGTTGCTCTAAATGTAGAAGCACTACAAGTATGTTTGCTGTTCTGTTCCTTCAGAACCAATGCTCCTTTAGAAATATTTAAACAATATCATATATATTTTGCTCCAAGAAGGGGAAAAATTATGGACCTTGCTTGTCAAAATAAGTTTTACTATGAAATATTAGTTTTAATGAAGTTCCTTTAAGTTTAATGATTCAAGGGGAAACACATCTCAGTAGTACTTTGGAAATATGTCTCTAAATACAAGGGTATGAGGTTTTCCAAAAACAAAACAAGCACATACAACTTTAACCTCTGTTTAGATCCTGAAAATTTATTTTCACGAACAACAGTAATTTAAAAATAAATCTTAGTTCTGTCCTTTCAGTAGTGTTGCTATTGCCAATGGAGGGGAATGCCTGAGGCAAAGCGATGTTTCAATCTCCATCTTTTGTCCCACCAGGTCTTTCCTTGTATTCATTATGTCACCTGTTTACACTGCATCAGATTATCAAAATCACAAAGTCTTTAAACTAACATGACAATTTTCCACAGGTCAATCTTGAGCTATGATCCATATATTTTCACAAATAAGAAAGTAAGGAAGAACCCACCTTCCAAACTAGGTTGAGTACATTTGGAATTGCTAGTATTGCTAATATTATTAAATTGTGGAATCATTTCATTGAGATACATTTTTAGGAAAAAAATTGTGTTTGAAAACTTTTTCTCCTAAGAGATTTTTATCTCCCCTGTCAAGTGGAAGATGACATTCTATGAAATAACTCATATATTTCATCATTTTTGCCAAGTAATATTAACTGTGCATCAGATACTTAGAATATCTTGAAAAGGGAGGGAGGAAAGTTGTTTCTCTAATGGACAAAATCATAGTCATGGAAATTTAAGCTTTAGTTTTAAGAATAAGTCACTTAAAGCTCAACTTTATTTTGACCAAACCTACAATGTAATTATCACCTCAAGTATGTCTGGGAAATAAAGAAGGAACTGGAACAGAAATGAAGAAAAAAAAATTGGTCAAATGAATTCAGTAGCATGGTATACACACACACAATCCAGAAAATTATATACTGTAAGTCAAGAAGTCAACTTCATGACAAATAACCTTTTAAAAATGATTCTAATCATTAGTAAAAGGTCAAAATTAAAATCTAGTCTATAGGTCATTTGTAGTAAAAAGGGGTCAAATTTGTACTACAAGGCAAATCTAAGCATTCTTCAGAAAGACTGGAGTGGTGCTTTTTGGGTGAAAATGATGATACCACTACAGGAACATTTGTTACTGAATTTTAATCCAGTACCTCATATTTATTACTTTTTAATACATCATTGAAATTTCATTTTACCAGAAGTCTAAGGAACAATGAGGTCTTTATGAGATGAATCAGGAAACTAAAAAGGGATTTCTCCATTTTTCAGTTCAACAACATATATTAAATGTCTGCTATATGCTGAACAATGAGCTATGTTTTGGGGGGTCCAAAAATGAGTAAGACAGAATTCCTCTCTTCAGTGAGCTCCAGAATTCCTAAATTTCATAAGACAATTAAAAAGTTAAACTACTTTTAGGAGGAAAATTTCTGTTCACAGTAAAAACTCAAGAAATTGTGTGCATAAACTTGGACCAGTGTGTACAGACACAAAAGGCTGAATACTACACAATAGTTATTGCTGTCTTAGATAAATGTCCTCAGGCCTCAGCTAAAAGATGCTTCTCTAAACATTTACTGCAGTTATGATTTGGTGTGTATATGCTATTATGAACAGCAAATAGATATGCATTTCTTGACATGAGTCAAGAAATACTTATTGAGAGACTATGTGTGCCAGCTCATGTTCTAGGTATTGAGGATACACTGATAAATGGAAGAGTATCTGTCTTTGTGATGTTTATATCTTTGTGAGGCAGACAGACAACAAATAGGGATAACAGGATTGAGCTGACAGTGAACATTCCAATGAAGTTGTCAATAATTGACACAGAATAATGTACTGAGAGGGAAAAAAGAGTAAGAACTATGGAAGAAATGCCCAAATAATAATTACCAAATAAAAGTTGGTGAGTTCTCACAATTACAAGGACGTATGTGCTGACAAGATAAGGAATATGTAGGCCAAGTGAATTCAGTAAATAAGTCTCAGAATACTTGAGAAACATGATATTTTGTTTTCTTCCCACAGATTTCACACAGACTGGTAAAAAAGTTTTTTTTTTACTGTTTCAATGCTCATTTCTGAGGAGGGAACAGATGGATTGGTGGTAGGGTACTCAAAAGTGTTTTTGCAAATTACCTCACAATCGAACTTCAAGTTACTTAAAATATAGAAGGTGAGACTTTAATATTCCTTGTTATACATATTTAGGTATATGTATATGTACTTATATTTGGGTGTATGTATGAGTGTGTGTATGTATGTGTATACACACACACGCAGATTTTTTAGAACAAAATTAAAGAATTACTTTTTCACTCCAAAGACTAGCACTACATTTAAAAAATCTATGATAAAAATATATATGATAATACTTTAGAAATTATGAAATAACCAGATAAGGCATTTATTTGTAATTATTATAATATAATTATAGTTATTAATAATGATATCATCTCTTGAAGACTTGGGCACATGCCTTCAAAGGATTACATATAGAATGAACCAGAACCTAGATCATCTTGCTGTTAGGTAACAATCAGGTTATTTATAATAAAGTTGTTGAAGTATGTCTCTCCCCATCACCAATCCTCTGTGAATATTGCCAGCACTGACTCTCCTTTCTATTAACAAGTACTTTAAAAAAGAAAACTTGCCTACTGAAAGTAGACATTAGGAAGACGGTTATTAAAGACATAAAAAACAAAGCAAAATAATAAAAGCCCATTATACTTAAATTTTAAAAAAGATTCAGTATTTCAGGACAACTTAATTCAGAAGGCTATAGTATAGCATGGCAAGGCTTACATAAAAAAGCACTCTTAAATGTACGATGTGGAGATGACATATTTGATCAGATTTATTTTTTCTTTGCCCCATTCCTTAGAAAAACCAACAAAATGAAACATGGGTTTGGTTTAGCTTCTTTGATACCCTGAGTCAGATACATCCATCGGAATATCAGGGAAGAGTACTGACATCATACACTTGTGAAGTTATTGCTAACACAGGGTAGAGAATGGAGACCAAGAATGATTTTATAGTTCATAAAAATGCACTGCTGAACAGGCCATTTTCTAAACCTAAAAAGACCCTGATTAGTAAGTGTAAGGAATGATTAGATTATGTTAATTAAATTTTTTGGATGGAGGTAACTGTGTTCTAGTGGAACCAGCTTATTAGAGAAGATATGCTCATAAATACCACTTATTTCCTGTTTGGTCATGATGTAAATCTTTCCTATTTATCCCAAGGCATTGAGCTCAATATGTGGCAAAATGGATAGTGAGTAACCACAACAGTAGGATTATAAAATTATTAAAACACAAAATAGAGTACCATCCCTCCCCCATGAGTACATAAACATTTTCATTCTGAGAACAAGCTCCCCAAATTCTGATTGCCTAGTGTGAAATTTCAAGAATGATAACATACAAATCAAGAGAAGATTATGGAAACTAAACGAAAGGCTCAGTTCCCTTACTAATAATAAAATATTTTATCAAGTGTTCTCAACACCTTTCTTTGCCCTTTCCTTGTATTCACATCCTTGCTTTGGAAAAACCATGCCTATACTCCAAAGTGTCAAAGAACAAGATTATTTATAAAAGCATAGTAAGTGTCTATTTGTGTGTTCAAACAGCATTTATGAAGTGGCACAACTTTGCTTAAAGTATATGGATACTAATTCTTTACAGATACACAAAGAAAGTTATATGCGGTAGAAGCTCAAAGTATACAAAAGGGATATATATTGATGGCAAACATTTATTTACAGTTTAGCAGGCACTATTCTAAGCCCTTTGTATGTACTTATTTGCTCCTTATAAAAGTCCTATGGATGGAAATGGTTATTATCTCCATTTTTTAAAAAATGAGTCAATACCTGGCATAGAGACGTTAAGATCTATATCCAAGGCCACACAGCTGGTAAATGGGAGAGCTGGGATTTGGACAGCCTGGTTTCAAAGTCCATGCTCTTAACCACTATGCTATGCTGCCTCTCCCTAACTGTTGGCACATTATATATGTAAGTAACATGCATTGTCTGCTGAAGACATGTAAAGGGGAAAATTTTAAATCTTAAATCTAATTTCTACAAATCTAGAAAAGGGAAAGGAGAAGAAGAAAAAAGAAGAAAGGATCAAACTCATAAGAACTAAAGTGGAAACATGAAGCATAATGTTGTAGACGATGAAAAAATATATAGAGATTTTCCCAGAGCTACCAAATAACCATGTACCATCTAGTCACTTGGCTGCACAATCCTGTCCAGTGATACAAGAAAGGTGACAGAAGGATACATTAACTTTGCTTACGCCTGAATTATTGAAATGGATATTCTGTCATAAATACTCAGTACTTGGAAAAGGCAGCATTTTTGGTGGGTATCTTTTTTTTCTCACCTGGGAATAAATTTGAAGACATATTTCCAATATGGACTTCTAAAATATATATATTCTTTTCTACAGTGGAGTTTTTGGGTTTTTTTTTTTTTGGCTTATATATGGATTCTGGCACATTTTTGGTAAACTTGACAAAAAGTCTATTTATTTTGACTTTTTTAAATGCTATTTTTTAAAATTAGGTATATGGTTACATGGAGCTATAGCTGCGTTCATTTTATTTTAAACTGATTGGTCTAGAAACTTCAGTGACATTATTCTCTAAGCATTAATGTGGAAAACTTACAATTCTAAATGACTTTCTAAGTATTTTGCAATTTAAGTAACACTTTACCTGTTCATATCATCAAGATGCTCTGCAGCAAAATAAAAGCTTTTGATTTTAGGATGACAGGCTTTGAATGCACTGCAAAAGGAAACAGGGTACAGTTACTTTATTTCAAATTGGGAAGTAAGTTAGAACCAAATACTTTTTATGGATAAAATTACCTCAGCATCTAACCTGAGTTCACATATATAATGCTTCTGCCATGATGACAGAAATCAGTAAAAAATTCAATTTTCTGCCCACAAAACTGCTTTCTTATTACCTCAATTTGAAAGCATTAGACAAGCAACCTATAATTTAAAAGCTAGAAATTAGAAAAAAAAAAAAAACCCTTCTCTTCTCTCCCCAAATAAAATCAACTTACTATTTCTTGCGGCATTCACTGGCTCTATCAATTTTAAATTCAGGCAGACTGATGAATCCTTCTGCTTTTTCATCCTAAAGAGGCAACACTCTTTTTAGGGTATTATATACAAAGGTTTGATGCTGATGCTACTATACAACTATGCCTTAAATATCTATACTAATAAACCTGTTCATTTAATTCCTTAAATTTAACATTTCAGAGATAAGAATTTCACTCTTAACTGTTATAGTTACATTGAAGGTGTATTTTGAACACTTAGAATATTACAAACTAAAATATATATAGAAATTTAAAAAGCCTTTTTATATTAAAAGGAAAATAGAAAACATTTTAATTCTCAAAGTGAAACATTTTGCAATTAATTTCTCATCAGAATATATATACATTTCTTATAACATAAAAGAACTTTAGTCCACATTTACAATTCACAATTTTCTATCATTTTAAATGATCAGATGTAAAATATAGAGATGTTTACTAATTCCTTTACTGCCTCCAAAAATCTCTTATCAAGCCCAAATTAAATAATTATTTTGTGTATTCAAGATCTTAAAAATGAAATAAATGAATTTAATTTTCAAATAACTGACTTCGTTTTACAGGCTATATATATAAAAGTCATTTTTCACTTGGAAAATTGAACAAAATCCATAAAATCCCTCTCTCTAATGTGAGTTGGAAAAACAAGATAGGAGAATTATCCAAAATCTTCCATTAGATACAAGTTATTCCAACTAGGCTAAGACTATTTTTGGCTAAACCCTTTAATTGTTCTTGTCCCTTTGAAGTTCATGAGCCAACTCCTTGGACTTTTACTCTCCCGAACTTTGATCTATGCTGTACCAGTTCATGGTTCCTTATATATCAAGTTCAAGTGAGATTAAATACTCATCTGCTATCTCAAAGAAAATGAATAGAAACTCTCAGTTCTATTAGAGTGTGTGTGTCGTATATATTGAAAACTTATTAAAAAATTTGATGCTAATGATAGTGACTGAAATGTGTGTTATATAAAAGAGCAATATTATAACTTTTAAAAATATTTATCAATATTTGAGTATTTTTGTTCAATCTTGGGATAAATACAATAGTATCAAATCTCTTTCTCAACTTTGATTTCTGTTATGTTACCCTTGACATCTTTAATGTTAAAATTTAAAATTCTGAACAATTTAAAATACTTTTGGGGTAGTTATGATCTCCCCATTAAACGTTCAAAGACAGAATACTGCACAGTAGACAAATCTACAAGTGATCTTAAAATAAAGAGAAACATACAGATGCTATGTTTTTTATACTACTTGATTGGCATGTAAAAAGTATCCAGCCAGCACACTGTATTAAACCATGTACATTTTTAGGAAAAAACAGGTTAACAGTAGAAATTGTTGTTTAAGAAAAACTTAAGGTGAACTGATAGATGGCTATAGCAAAGGAATCAAGGCAAATGTAGAGTCAAGGGAATATCAACAAATAAGGTATATTCTGTGTATCTTGTGATATGCGATAGGTTATATAATTACTCTGGTTATAAAATCTATATACTACAAATGAAATAGTAAATCATAAGAGCAATTTGCATGGATTACATATCTTTCCCCTGCTGCCCCTAATGGGCCAAATGAAATGAATACTTGCAGATTTTCAAAACTAGTCTGCTAGTTCATTTATTCTTTAAGAAAAACTGAACCAAATACAGGTGACATTAATTAACTTACTAAAAGACTTCCCAAGAAAAGCAAACAGAAACAAAATTAAAAACTTCGAACAAAAGCAAGACATTTAAAAATCGATACCAAATTTCCAGGTGTAATCCTTTCAGTTAAGCTATTGTTTGAATTAATTTGGTATTTTTGATTAGAGAATTTTATAATACAGAGAATTTTATTATACTTTATCTGTGTTTCAGATATGTTTCTACATTAGAATAACGGAGACAACTATCTTCCCAGAACCGAACCTCACAATGCAATCATTTTAGGAAGGCAGACTGAAAAATACTAGAAGTCTCCTGAATTAGCCTTAAGGTGATTATTATGATTTTAAAATATAAGTATAAAAATGGTGGTTCTTTCGGTTAAGATAGAAAATGGATGAGAAAACAAAATGTGCTTTGTCTTACCTCCTCATTAATATACCAATATAGGGATGCATCCTTTAGGACAAACCAGTATTTCTTCCATTTCTGTGAAAAATAACTCTTTGCATCTTTCTTTTTCCAAAGCCAGCCCTCACAGTCACCACGGCCAAGATCTTTGCAAGAAATTCGTCTTTTGCTCTTGCCAGCTATAGGACCTAAAGATAATAGTGGGTAGAAATGCTTTTTAAATTTTGTATAGGTGTGAGGGTAGACAAATAACCTAATAGATCATAAAAATAAGTCTAGGTACTAAACAACCTTTAACATTCTCATTTTCTTATTGTAACAGAATAGAAAAATATGGAAATCTTTAATACCTTTTTGCCCACATAAGTGACATATAATTTAATCACAAGTGTGCGATCCCAGTCTCAAAACCTGTTGAGACCATTTGCTGTAAAAGGTATCTTGTATTATAATCGACCTGAAGGAGAAGCTGGTCTTAGTAGCTCTTCTGCTAGGGTGTTGTGCTCTTCCAAACCGCACTGGGCTTAGGCAAGAGAGGCTGGGTGAAGTGTGCTGGTGATTATCCCAGTGCAAACTAAGCTACTAAATGCTTCGTTTTCTTTTCTTACCTTTGTTTTTCTTCTTTGATTTGTGCTGCAGAGAAGACTGCTGAAATGTCTGAAATCAAAGATAGGGAAGAATGTTATCTGACATTCAAGGTGCTATCGGAGATCCAGCGAGAGGCACAGAACTCTCAATAGCTGAACGATGACTCTGAATCCCTTTTCTAAAGACTCAAAACAAATTCTTAATCTCTCCTGAAGTAAGAGAGGATAATATCTTTGTCCTGATTTTGCAGGCAGAGAAACCAGGGCACAGAGTAGTGGTGAAAATCAAGGCTCTTATCTATGTATAGTATCACTGGGTACCTTTTTAAGGACTTTATTGTGCTTTCTCGGGCAATATCTCATTTGATTCTCCCCCAAATCTTATGAATTAATCAAGTAAACACGACTATCACTTGTTCCTTTGAAGTTCATTCTATTCCATAAACCACCATCACCTACTGATCTCCTTAGGCACTCCCCCTCAGTTGCTATCAATTTCAGCACTTGAATCAGTATTTTCTTCTCAAACCTATTGTGTCCCTACTACTGGTAACTAATCTTCATATATGTGATGTCAGTACCCTGGCTTCTCAGTCCCTCAGCTCTAATTCCTCAGCTACCCATCCCCATTACCCTATGCTTGTTATTCTTAAGCATACTCCAACGACTGCCTCCATTATCTCCATTTTACATAGTACAATACCCCCAAGCCAGCAACTTTTAGAAAATCTCCACTGAGACATTCAGTTCATTGACTTTACCACCCTTTTGTGCCGTTTTTTTTCTCTTCTTCCACTTGGTTTCCATGGGACATCATTATTATCACTCCCTTGAGCTATGCTCCCTGCCTCATACTTGCCTAGCTAAAAGACCATCCCAGTTAAACTCACCTATCAGTCTACTCCATGTTAAGGACCAGAAGAGTGTAATGTCTTAACAGAAAAATCCACAACTGCACTGACTGGGCGAGACTTTAATTTATGACTATAAATCACTGGTTCCAGACAGTCTACTAAACTAGATTATTCACTGTTCTAAATAAGGTTAATTATGTTCATATGATTAGCTAACTAACAGGGTACAGAGACAGCATGTGTAATTTTAATTCACAGATAATCCCTCAAAATGAATTTCTTTTAACAAATTCTTCTTTTTCTTTACAAAGGTATATCTGTAAGGGACAATTGGATTTTGTCTACATAAAATTCGCTGGTCTTGGTTTTATACAATCAATTTGTATTCTGTGACATACTTTTAAATTAAGTATCTTTGCTTGTAAAATAACATTCTTATACAACAATTTTCACATTCTGTACATGGTTTACAAAATTCTCATGAATATAATATTATGGATGGATATTAGCCCTAAAGAAAAGGATTAGATAATTTGCTGACATTTAGTGTAATCCAGAACTAATCACTCAATTGTCAAAGCAATATAAGTACATATGTATGTGGGAATGCGTCTGTGTATAAAACTTTGCAGGATCCATGGCTACAGAAATTCACAATCAATTTTTGAGAAAGCATAAAAGATAAAACCCATTATGCTGTGTTGATTTTCTTGAGTGAACTTTGCTTCAAAATAATAACTCAGGCTAGTGTGCTTAAGTATAGTTAATTTACATATAGTTATTTTCCCTAAATTGTTTGGCTGTAAAATTAGTGATTGGGTTTTTTTTTCCCTTTTGTGTTTCCACAAGTAATCATTATAATTTTACAGCTCATTATTTTTAAAAATGACAAAGATGGGGGTGGTTTGTTTTTAGGAAGCTACATGGATAACAGACAGCTTGAAAGAACTGTTTATATAATGTACCTCCTATGCTTTTTGCACATTGTTCCTTAGAACCAGAAGGTCTACTTGAAAATCTACACAAAAATATATCTTACGCTCTCCAGGTTTTCTTTTTAACATGATTATCTTTTCTTTCCCTATAAATAGATATTCTCGTACCAACTGTGATTGCAGAATATAATCAGTATACATATTGTTGAAACCTAAGAATTCCTAGGCACAAAATACAGATGTATCCATCGTTCAAAGAAGCAAAGCTTTAGATGTCTTTTGTATATATGTTAGTATTACAATGGAATTCTCTTAAGAGAGACTTTCTTATTTTTCCAATGAAAATAACATGACATTTTCTAAAATGAAAGAGTTAACTGAATTATATGCTTTTGAAAGTTAACAGGAAAAACAATGAAACCTACACTTAAGGAAATAGGTTGCTGTGCCGAAGAGTTAATACAGCAGGCCTGAGGCTATCTTAGAAGGGGTTGCTAGCAAGGCTGGCCCTTAGCTGACATCAGGGAGCTTGGCTGGTAAATAGTTCCCTATACTGACATGAAGGTTCTCTAAGCAGTAAGACTATTTTGCCCAGCTGGGGACTAAATGCCTGCCTTCTTTTTGGGAGTCTGGAATTTAGGTAGTTGCTAGGCAGAAGATACCTTTGTAAGCAATCCAATAAAATCCTTGAGTGATGAGTCTTCAATGGGCTCCCCTGAGCAGAGACATTATACATATGTGACTGCATTTTTGCTGCTGGGGGAGAACAGTCTGTATGATCTGTCATGAGAAGGAGAGAGCACAGGAAGTCTGCATATGGATTTCTCCAGATTCCATGGGTATCATTTTTCCTTACTGATCTGGCTGTATATGTATATGCTTGCTGTGTCACTGGAGCAAATCTTACCTGTGGGTAGAACTATAGGTTGAGTCTTATGAGTCCCAGTGAATCAGTGAACATGTGGGTGATTTGGGGACCCCTGAAACAGCCTCATTCTCAAAAGATTCCTTACAAACTTATATAAGAAATTGTTCATTATTCATATACATAGATAAGCTCTTGATATTGAAGTTTTCCTCATGTCATCAAGCAAGTGTGATTAAATACCCCTGAGGTGCAAATTTATAATCCTGCACAGTCTTTTCTAGTAGAACTTATGGAATTATTCATTCTGAGTGACAGATATTAAATTGGTATCCTTTTTTCCAGTTTTTAATGGTATCATGAAATATTTAATAAGAGCAAGACATTAAGAACAGACACGACTATAATGGATAACACAGCAGATCATACAAGGTATTGTGACCAACTTAAAAAAAAAAGAGACCTGGAATCTTTGCTTTCATGATGATGAATGTTTTTCTCATGAGAGCAAAAATTTGTAATGTATTTTATTTTTGTATTTTTCTTATTAGCCTCAGATTATTCTTCTTCCAGGTTCATGCTTAAAGAAAGTATATCCTTTAGAAGTTCTTTCATAGCAGTCTATGCGTAGCAAACTCTTTTAGATTTTTATGTTTGAAAATATAAAAATCCTTCATTCTTAAATAATAGAATTTAAGAGCTGGGTATAGAATTCTGAGTTGAAAATAATTTTCCCTCCACAATTTGAATATATTACTTTATTTTCTTTTGACATCTATTGTTGCTGTTAAGACATCTACAGCTACTCTGTCATTTATTATAATTTGTTTTAGTCACTCTGTAGCTTTTAAAATACTTTCCTCTTTATCCCTGAGATTCTGCAGTTGCTCTATGATGTGTCTAGATTATAACTGATCTTAATTAATCCTATTTTGCATTCATTGTATTGTACTTGAAGACATTATTTCTTTAATTCTGAATATTCTCAGACGTTCTCTCTTCAAATGTGGTCTTCTTTACTAGTCCCTCTTTTTTTTTCTCTAGACATATGTTGGCATCTCTCAATTTAGGATCCATGTATCTTTCATATTTCTGCAGTGTGTTTTCAGTGAATTCATTCTGCTGTCTTCCAATTTCCTAATTCTTTCTCTGATTTTATCCAGTCTGAAGTTTATCCTATCTATAGAGTATTTATTTTACTGACTATACTTTACGTATCCAGGATATCTAGTTGTTATTAGCGCTTGTGAATACCCAGTGTTCTTAATCATCCTGTTATTTCAAAATCTATTTTAAAGGCTTTTGTGGATTTCCTGTAATTTCCTTTTAGTAAGGAAAGAATCCCCTTTACACAAGTCTCAGCTCTTGTCAATGGTTGTATCTTTATTTAACCTCTTTACTCATGGGTGAGAAAGCTCTTGCCTTCCCAGTTGGTTTTGCCCAGTGAATCAATCTTCAGTTTCCCGACATAGCTGTGGTCCATTTGCTCTTTGATATCCATTAGAATAGACTCCCACTCATCTCTAGCTCTTTCTCGACAATGTATATGCCTTTAGTTCCCATTTATTACTGCACAATTTTGTTCTTTCTTCTGGTCCTTGGAGACTAGATCTCATTTCAGACCATGACTATTATTTTTTTGTATTTGGGGTAGGGTGTGTGTGTGAATTTAAAGTATAAGCCCATAATGTTTAGGGACCACCAAAAGTAGATTCCTTTGGCAAACATTTGTGGAGATCAATTCTCTTAAAAAACACATTTTTCTGAATCATCATTCAATAAAATCTTTTGAATGCCCTCACTAGCACTTTCTGTTTATTCTAGTGAGCATATGTGTGAAAGTTCTAAGAATGTCTGCGAACTCAATCTAATCTTATGAATTCATATAATCAATCAGAACTTCTTGGCTGAGCTGCAGGATGCCTAACTCAACAGATTCAATGTGTACAAAACTGAGCTCATGATACCCACCACCTGTCAACCAAACCTGTGCCTCTCCTAGTCTTCTATACCTTAGTAAATGGCAATTCCATGTTCCCTCCACGGTGGCTCACATTCAGAATACTGTAGTCAACCTTAACTCTTTCTTTTCTCTTACATCCCATAGCCAAGCCACCAGCAGCTATATCAGCTCTGTCCTCAAAATACATTTACAATATGACTTCTTCTTACAATTGCTACTACTACCACCTTGACCTCAGCCACAGCAGCCCTCACGTGGATTACTGAAATGTCTCCTCACTGTTCTCCCTGCCTCTGCTCTTCTATTTTTAACACAAGAGCCAGAGTGATCCTGTTAAAATATGATTTGAGTCATGTCATTCCTCCACACAAAAACTCTCCAATGGCTTCTCATCTCACTTGGAATAAATGTCCAAATCCTTCCACTGACCTTGAAGGCCCTGAATTTCAGACC